CGACGATCCAGCAATCGCAAAGTGACCATGGAGAAAGTAAGAAGTTTGAAGAAAACAGTTGAATAAGTAAGTAGTTTGCGTATAATGTCACGCGTACGGTGTCTTGCCAGTGTTAATTACAAATTTGCAATATGTAAATTATTTATTTCTAGATGGATATAGCCTCAACTGAGGAAGAAAGCAAAAATAAAGAAAAGAAAAAAGTAGAGGAGAAGACTCAGGAAGAAGAAAGACAGGGAGAGCAGTCGCAAAACGAAGGACCAAAAAGGAATAATAGCAGCAGTAATAGCAGCTGTAATTCACAAATGTCTGGAAAAAAAGTAAGTAATGTGTTTCACATTTATTTATTCCGATTTATTTCCCTACGATAAATTATGTATTCGCAAAAAAATTATTATAACTAGCCCGGAATGCTTTTAATTCATTATGGATATTATTTACATCAAAGCTTTGAGCAACCGCGGATTTTATCAATAAAATTAATTCTTCGACAGTCTTCAAAACCTTGTCCCCTATTTTATATACTATATATATATGTAATATATACATATAGAATATATTACATTTTCATTTTTCTGTTTCAGATGCGAAAAATTGTTAAACGCTTATTGCATTATGCGGCACCCGGAGGAGCCGCCAGAGGCTTCCGCGGCAGAGGAAGAAGGGGCTACCGCGCAAGAAATTACCGCGGAAGAAGCTACCGCGGAATAACGATATCGGGCTGCAAAATATATGGTGGCATTAGAAATTAAAAAAACAAATAAAAAGTAATAAATATTAGTGAATGTTGTACTGTTTCCTTTGCGGACCTCATCCCCTTTCGGTCGCGATATTCATTTCGGGTCAATTGTTAACAATGTTAATGCGTTGCTAACTTTTTTGTTTTTAATTACGTAGACGTAGACATGTTTCGTTGAATTTTTAATTTAATTAAATTAGCAAAAATAAATGTCTGTATTGAAAAGTCGGTAGTCGAATTCCTGCGTCGATCAATAGATACCGCTCAATTTCGATCAGACTCTCGTGTGTTACAAAAAAATAAAATCTATACTTTTCTTTGTTATTGTTTTTCCGGTTTAAAATTTTTCACACGTACACAAATATACTGCGTTATTAAGATATTCATAAATCAGGTTTAATTAAAATATTTTAAAGAGATCCTTCTAAAGTATCCTTCCTAAAGTGATGTAAGTGTGAACTATTTGCTTGGTCATCGGTTTGAAAATAATAAAATCGTAAAAGT